CTGACTTGCAACCATTCTAAGTGCACCTTTTATGATTATCAGACATGCACCAACTTTTGGCCTTGTTTGTATTTGGCTTCTGCTATTACTAAAAAGAAATTCCATATGTTGCACACTTAAGTAATCACACTGTATACGGTGTCCTATTAACTTAAGTCAATATTTCGAAATCGGAGCGAAATAGAAAAAAACTGAGTACCTACGTCACTGGATTGCGTTCAAAAAAGTATCCTCAAAATGTTTTTTTCTACGAGCGTGCGGAAAAGTGCACTTTTCTGCACGTATTTTAGTTTAGAAAGTTTCACTTTTCTGCACTAGTGCGGAAAAGTGACAGATGTCAGTTTTTAAATTATAAGCTGACACATTTACAGGAATATCAGCATTGATAATTATTGAAACAATAATGTTATTTATTAAATTATTTCGGTTTAAACTTAACTCTTCTTGTCAAGTTACTATAGAATGGTTACTTTATGCTTAAAAATTTCGAAAATTTCATAGTAGATACATCAAACTTACAAATTATTGTTAAAAGTTCTCGATTTTATTGTCTTCCGAATCAGGGACATTGTTTCAGATTTTTTTTTTTTTTTAAATAAGTTTTTTCTACAACTGTCAAAAAATGATGATGTTCGCACACTCATGACAGTTTGCGAAGTGACAGTTTTTTTCCTAGTTCGCACACTGGTGTCACGCGTCGTCAAAAAATTTTCGTTTTCGATCACCAAAATGACATTTCGCGCACTTGATACAAAAATAACTATTTTGGAAGATAAAAAAGTCCTGATTTTTTCATTGCTATCCTGCATTTTCTCAACACATGTCCTGCGAATTGAATTTTCAAACCTGGCAACCCTATCAACAAGAAACTACAGGGCACTTTCAGCGAATCGCTGAAAGCTAAGAGGCTTGGAGATCTTTGACTTTGTCGATTCTCGCAAGCCCAGTACTAAGGGGTAGCCAATGGGCCCAGAGGGTGGTTCCTTTAGCTTATTTAAGCAAATATTGAGGCCAGTTAACTTAAGTTATCGCCAATTCGCCACTAGTTTTTACTACTAGTTATCGCTGGAAATTTAAGTCGCAAAGTCTCAACGAGTTCTCGATCCGTTTCTCATCCTCTAGTTCATCTGCCGACCGATGTTTTAGTAAAAGCGCTCCAAAGAGGTGATAGTTTATTTTCAATTTCAATTCCAATAAAGTGTCTGATTTGAACCTAAATCTTTTAATTGGGAAATTACTCTCTTTTCTTTCAATTGTCTTTAATTTTTCTTTAGTTAAAAATTGTTTATATTCCGGCGTGTCAAAATGACATTATTATGGACTTCATTGTAGTGTCAAAATGACGTACTTTATTGGATTGAGTACTATAATAATTTCATTATAGTCCTGAGTACTATAATGATTTCATTATAGTACTAAGTACTATAATGAAAAAAAAAATATAAGTATAGCAGGCAAAAATTTGAAAAATTTATTGAAAACAACAAAATTTAACGATAAAAATTAATTACAAAATCTTTACAATTTGATAAACTGATCTAGCACATCGGTGTCGAAATTGTCGCATTATTCTAGTTATTTATTTGTGAGTTTTCGGTTTCTTGTGGGGAGAAGACAATCGATAGAGAACCCGATGATGATTTTTTTCCAAGAATGGCTGCAGAAATTCTTTTTTTATTTTCGTGTGAGTTCTCTATATATCCTTCAGCTACTGTGTCACTTTTCCATCCTCCATGGCGTTTAATAGTGTGGAGGTCGACTCCAGAATCAGCCAGCAATGAGGCTGAAGACCTTCGGAAACAGTGACCAGTATATTCGGCGCAATGGGGTAGCTTTAAAAAGGAAGCAATCCCTTTGGGCATATTTCCGAAGGTATGAATACCCACTGGTTGCTTTCTACATTTATTATTCGTAAAAGATAGAAAAAACCGAGAAGTTTCGGCATCGAGGGGCCTCATTGATGTATAAGACCGAACAAGCTGCACCATATTGATTCCTTCGACTTCGCCAGGCGTAACGAAAAATTCTCGGGAAACATTTGTTTTCGAAGTAGGTATCACAACTCTGAAAACAGTTCCTTCATCGTGCACATCTTCCCTTCTCAAGTTTTTTAACTCCTCTCTTCTGCATGCTCCACTTATAATCATCACCATTGCCACTTTTAATAGCAAAAATGTTCCATTCTCCGCCTCTTGTAAAAACTTTGCAATATTTTCTTTGGTGAGAATTCTGGACTTTTTGGGTGTGTCAAGAGTCGGAGTTCCGTTTTAAAAAAGCAATCAGGTGAACGAACTTACTTATGTCAACGTTTCTTTTTATTGATAACATACTTGTTATTATTGAGTAATGGGTGTCCCTAATCACCCGGATCTTCCGGTTGAATATTTTTTTTAATTAGCCCGGAATTTCCGGATTATTATTATATTATTATTCGTCCGGATTGTTTTTTTACTTGTGTACCAGTTTACCAGTAGTTCAGTACACTTATATATCCAGTATTAAATGAACTGTAATGAAACTAACCAAAAATATGCAAACTAGCCCAAACTAACCCGTCCACGTAATGCGTATTAGTCCTTGCATGTATTGAATTTAGAAAGAAAAGCAGCGCGATTTGCGCGCTTTGTTATTAACTAGTAGTTCAGTACACTTATAACCAGTATTAAATGAACTGCAACGAAACTAACCAAAAATATGCAAACTAGCCCAAACTAACCCGTCCACTTAATGCGTATTAGTCCTTGCATGTATTGAATTTAAAAAAAAACAGCGCGCTTTGTTATTAACTAGTAGTCCAGTACACTTATAACCAGTATTAAATGAACTGCAACGAAACTAATCAAAAATATGCAAACTAACCCGTCCACGTAATGCGTACTAGTCCTTGCATTGTCGAAAAAATTCAAATATCGAATTTCAAAAAAATAAAAAATTCTATCGGATAAAGGAGCAAAAAATACGTCAAAAAGTAAATTTGACCTTCCTCGCTACGGTACATCTTAAGGCCGAAAAAAAATAAAAAAGGAAATTTTGATTTTGATCAGAAAAAAATTGTGGGTATCCGACACGAGACCACTTTTTCGCCTATAACTCTGCTATTTCTTAACCGATCGTTTCCAGTCATATCTCATTTGAAAGAGGATCAAATTGTCTACAAAATATTATTTTATGGAGTTTCTAGGCCGTTTTTGTCTTTGAGATATTGGCCGTCAAAGTTGAAATTTATTGTAGTTTTGTTAAAATTTTCGAGGTCGATTTTCTCGAAAACGGTTCCCCGTGGAGGGATACTTCTAATAGGCTTTTTTGTAGTACTCGACGAGATCTATAAGTTTTATATTTGAAGTTTTTCTTCCAAGCTTTTCGTTTTTGAGTTAGGACGGTTTCAAAATTAAAAAAAAAAAATCGAAGGAATTTTTTTGTCAAAAAAATTCAAATATCGAATTCAAAAAAAAAAAAAAATCTATCGGATAGAGGAGCAAAAAATACGTCAAAAAGTAAATCTGACCCTCCTTGCTGCGGTACATCTTAAAGCCGAAAAAAAATAAAAAAGGAAATTTCGATTTTGATCAGAAAAAAAATAGGGGAATCCGACACACAATAGAAAATTCAAATTCGAAATTGGCGGCGCGGCGCCAGCGCAATGGGGCCTGGGGTATGGGGAGTAATGATTGTGTCATTGAAGGGGTACATGGTGTATTATTTTCCGGACGAATAATAATGAAATAATAATTCGGAAATTCCGGGTTTATAAAAAAAAAATCGACCGGAAGTTCCGTAACATTATCCACACTGTTGAGTAATAGCTCCATAAACTTGAAGATTTTTTAGTCATTGATTGTTCCTTGAAATAAGCTAGAAGTACCTTCTCGTGCGCAATATTTTCGACATTTTTCTTGTTACACCAACTTTCATAACTGGCATAGGTTTTTTCATATACGCTTCTAGACTTTTCAGACACTAAGCCAGCAACTACATTATCAGCCAAATTTTCAATTTCTGGGGGTAAATCCATCATAGAATCATTCATTATTCACTATTTGATGAACTTTTCTGTGAATTTAACTGAATTTAACTTTGACAATATGACAATCATAGATGAAAATACAAACAAACAATTCCGTTGTTACCCGTTGTCAAGCACATTACTAAAATTAGCCTTCTTCAATTATTTCCGAAAAATTCAAATGCAACAGAAAAATGTATTGACTATAATCGCCAAAATATAAAATATTGTATGAAATTCGGATCATAAACAATCATTATGATCCTTATAACATAAATATCTATTATGATCCTGGTCCATTAATTAAATGACGTAATTATATTTTTTAATATATTTTACTTTACCTTTATTTTTATCTTCAAATAATTAACGCTTACTTTTCTTTCCACTCATAAATAAATTAATTTTAATCTTTCGAAATTAGTCTTTTTTTTTCTGGTTTTAAAATTCTCATTAAACCACTGGGTGGTGGCATAGAAAGATCTTACGTGCCGATTTGTGCGGTTAAAGAAGGTGTTTCCAGCTTCAGCAGAAAAGTGGTAAGTGGTACTAATTTTGAGTCTCTAATAACCCTTTCAATAACCACTCCAAGAAGAGAAGAAAGAAGATTTCGTTCAGATTGCCTCCGATTCAGAAAACTGTTATTTATTGCTTCAAATCAAATTTACTTTTCAGCATAATTATTTACCACGAAATTTTAAGATGTGACAGAATTATTCACGCTATCAAAATATCAATTCTTACATAACATCTCAATTTTGTCACACCGAGGCAGCAGTAAAAGTACACAAAATATGGATTCTATGCTTGCTGTTTTCTAACTTAATTTTTGATATTCACTTGAAAATAAGCATAGGTATATCCTGTTCACAATCCGATGTCCACAGGTGCAGGTAAATTTATGACCTTTCCCTATCAAATAGCGTAGAAAGGTGATAAATTTTACCTGTACCTGTGGACATCGGATTGTGAACGGATAATAGATGTAAATTATTACCTGCCAAGGATATTCTCCTGGTGTCGCAACTGATCCTTGTACGACCCTGAAGTGAACATCGTCATGTTGTAGGAAAATATTGTCTTTTCTATAACCACAACTTACAGGCTCTGGAGAAGAATCGCTTGGTTCTAAGTCTTAGGAATATTTTGTTAAATTATTAAAATCAAATCTAAATATTTATTTATACTCACCCAAATCTTCAATATTTTCATTAGTTTTCCCACCAAAATGTTTAGGATTCCTTTTAGGTTCAACATACATGGAATTACCACAAATCACTCCAACATCTTCACTATGATCGCAATTACTTTCACCCCAATCCCAATGCGTGCACTTTTCCAAACTGGTTTCATTGCCCTGGCAAGCTACTTGGTCTAGCCATATAGGTCCGGTAGTTTGTCCAAAAAAGCCATCTTTTTTCACTGAAGCTGACCCAGAGTAGCCTAGAGCAGCACAGGCAATTTTAGCAGCATCCTCGTTGAAGTCATCGTCACAAATTGATCCCCAAATGCCGTTGTGTCTTATTTCCAATCTTCCTTCGTTTGCACTGGTGCCATTTACTAGTCTAAGGGCTGTTGGTGTCTGAAATTATTCACCGATTATTTGTTTATTCAATATGCGTTTCGATAATTTAAGGTCCTTAAGGAATATCGACTTAATAGTATGTACACTTAAACCAAAAAAAAAAAGTTTTAATTTTTTTTCTACAACCGTGCTTCAATAGCCACTTTTTTCCCGCACTAGTGCTTTTGCCAATATCGATCAAATTTACAATTTCAGCATATTATATGTTAGCAAAACAAAATGCGTTTATTATACATGTTATATGGATTTCACGACTACATTGACCTCAAGACGCGTTTCATCACCACAGTGGTACAAAGTATCGCAAAGTCTAGACGCTACTTCAGCAAGTTATTCTGTGAGAACATGTCACGCCAAGAACTCTAGTCCATGGTCGCAACGCTCCCATAAAAACAGCAAGATCAACATATTTTAAATTATAAAAGATCCTGTCTGTTTAGTTTAAGCGTCATTATTCGTCATTATTTAGTATAGTCGAGTTAATGTCCGATTTTATTTGTAACTTGTATTTTAAAATAAATTATTGTTTTTTTAAAAAGTGATTTCAAGAGTTTTTAAGATAACAATTTGGCGCAGTCGGTAGGATCTGTCAACGTTGTCAGAACAAGAAAATTCTAACTGATAGCGGCGGATTCTAATCCCTTAAACAGAAAAAGAACGGAAGAATCCCAACTCGAAGTGAACACGACGATTCCATGGAGCCTATTATTTTGATATAAGTACTTAAAGAATTGTCTCGTTTATTTTTTTGTGTGTTTTATGATACTGTTCGATTTTTCAAACATTCCCTATTATTTTATTTTTGCATTTACCGTATTTTGCGAAGTTTTATTTTACGATATTTTGAAAATTTGCGAACCAATTTTTATAAATTTATTCAATTTACCATATTTTATCTATTTTGAAAAGTTTGCTAATCAATTATTTCCTTAAAAATCGTTTTATTTTACCAAATTTTGAAAATTTACCAACTAATTTTCATAAATCGTTTCCATATTTTGAAAAGTTTATTAACTATCTACCTTCGAAATATATATTTTTTTTTTGTTGTTTTTGAATATTTTTATTTGAATCAACAAAATGCCTAATGAAACCAATGAAACCATTGTGGAAGTTGAACCATACAGACTTTCTGAAATATTTTCGATAATTCCTGAATTTGAAGGAGATCAAATCTTTTTAGGAAACTTTATTAATGCATGCGATTGTGCCTACAATATGGCAACCACGCAGCAAAAAGTTTTACTTGTTATTCATATTAAAAATAAGCTCAGAAGTAGAGCAGGTCAACTGATAAGTTCTCGAAACCCCACTTCTTATTTGGAAGTCAAACAACTTCTGAATTTACACTTTGGAGATTCTAGAAATCCTTCAGCTCTTATTCATGACCTCCAACGACTCAAACAACTACCTGGCGAGTCCCCACTTACTTTCTACAATAGACTCCAAGTACTGAATGCAAAAATGCATTCTTCTATCCAAAAGTCACCACACCTTAAAACACAAGATCAAAAAGAAGCACAGTCCTCCCTTGTGGAATCTATGGCCCTGAACACTCTTCTTACAGGCCTAGAACCTCGCCTGGCCAGATTATCAGAGCAGGAAGCCCACACTCTCTTTTAGATGCTCAATGTAGAATCAGGAGAGAAATCCAACTTTCCTATTTTGAGAATCAGAAGACTCAAAAAACTGCTGTTCAAAAAGTTTTGATCAACAAATCACAATCATCCATAAAATGATTTTCTTGTGGAAAAATTGGCCATACATTCAATCAATGTAGACACCAAGCTTCCAGTCGTTCAAACTTCACTCAATACCCAAATCAAAATTTCCAAAAAACGACTACAGCTAACTACTCAGGCACAGCTAATCAACAGCCAACAACCAATGTTTCGCAAAATGGAACCCAAAATGCATCTACTTCGAAACAATTCGTACCAAGATACGCTTCAACTACCCCTCAAAGAAACCCCAATTTTTACCCTAACCAGGAAAAAACTTATCTTTTTAATGATTCCTCTAATGAAACATATGCCAACAAATTTGAGTACGCTGAAAGCCCTCATTATGAACAAGATGCTAGTTATGAAGAAAACGAATATGCTGAACAGTTCACTACTGATCCGAACGCTGAAAATTATCAGGATTTTCTGGTACCTTTTACCAATCACCATCCGCCAGAGAATACCCCTCTAGATCAGACTTCAAATATCGAGACTGAAATACAACTTCTGAATCTAGACAACATGAATCCGAACCTCAATTTTCCGGAACACGCATTTCTTTAAACCCACTTCTTACTGTTAATTCGAAAAATCTGCACTACATTCATGATGCTTCTAATAAATTCAGATTACTCATTGATACAGGTGCAGGCATTTCAATTTTCAAAGAAAATACTGTCCAAAAATTCCCCTATCGTGCCGAAGAAAACGTAACCATTCAAGGTATCACCGATCAAAAACTCCAGATCCGTGAATCGACACTTGTACGGTTCACCCTCCAAGATCCTCACAAAGTGCCCTAATAACACAAAGACATTCCAGGAATGTTCAAGGAATATTTAGTTGGGACAATCAGAATATTCCTGGAAGATTCTGTTTAGATCCTGGAATATTCCTAGAACATTCCAGGAGACGCTTTTGTCATCAAAATGGATGTTCTAGGAATGTTCTATTAAATCATTCCTGGAATATCTTCAATCATTCCACATAGTATATTCGGGATTTTTGTGGGATATAGGAGGAACATGCACAGAACATCCCACAAATAAACTAGTAGGGAATATTTTTGTTTTGGTTTATTGATTAGGTAGGTATTACCCCAATTTTTAATTGTGAATTGACATCCAACACTCGCATCAACAGTTTTCTCGAAAGTTCCATTTTCTGAGGAGTCTAATGCGTGCTGATACTTTGTTCAGGTAGAACGGTGGAAGGTATCTGATTAAAATCTTCTTAGAATCTTGAGTAGCCAAGTAAAATGCCCTCTCAGTCATAGAAACGAGCGTAGAACTAGAGAAAGGATGCTGCCTCGGGTGCTAATATTCATCTAGTAGATCAGGTTCCGAATGATTTGATCGTTTGTTCCTTTGACAATAATTAGTTGCTTAACATTCATTTTTTTTTCCTGTAGTGACGTGTAGGATCCATATTCAGCACTGTAACCTGCAAATCTAACTAGTTTCTTTAAGAAACTTCCTAAATAAATTACTAAACAGGCTATACAGTAGTACTTACCTAACACAAAAATGCAAAAAGTAACGAAACCTCGGAAATTAGAAGAACCATCAGTGAAAAATTATGTAGGAAATTCGTGGAAAAATCTACTAAAAACCATATAAAAACACGTCGTTCAAAACCGACCACCGATAATTGATAAAACGATTATTTTGTGATTAAACGAAATTAAATTAATAACAAACAAATTTGCTTACTGTTTACTACTGTTTTTTCAGAGTTAGGTTAGGTAGTCTGTGATGAATGTGAAGTGAGGTGCCGTGGCCCGTGACGTGACGGCTTTTGTTCGACGTTGCCAGTTGTTACGTATATATTTTCGTGTAGCGATTAAAATATCGCCAATATAAAAAAATATACAACCTATTAATTGTATCGGGTCTTCAAAAAAAAAACCAATCAAAGATTGCTATGGTTTTTTAAACGTATGTCTTAGCAATATTTTTCTTTAATTTTGTCAATGAACTTTAATGTCAAAATGTCATGTCAAAAATCCTGACCAATAAAAAAACAATAATGCGACATACGTTTCCGTAACCAAAGCAATCTTTGATTGGTTTTTTTTTTTGAAGACCTGATATATACAAACATTACATATAGGATTCGAAAATTTATAGAATTACTAGGTATATTTCACCATATTTAAAGGGTGTTTTTTTTTTTTAAGATAAAAGTCAAAATGACATTATGTTGGCAATACAATGTAAAATTGTCAATGGTTTCAAAATTTTTATGTAGAAAAGGCTTGTGTTGCCAACATATGTAGTTACTAAATTTTTGACATGGGGAATTATCTTAAAAAAAAAAAACAGACTTTATATGGAATAAAATCATCCGAAGAAATCTGACAACGTGGGTAAGGTATCTCAATGATCAACACTGGTTGATAGACGAAGGGCAGTTGGGTCGTTGGTAATCTGGCAACAGGCCCGTCGCCAGGGGGGGTGCAGAGGTGCAGCCGCACCCGGGCGGCCAAATCAGGGGGCGGCCGAAGGCCGACCGATTGTGTAATCAGGGCCGTGCGAAGCACGCGCGGGCCCCCGTACAGCTATTGCGACGGGCCTCCCTAAAGGGACCCCAAACATTTTTGAGTGTCACGACATTTTTACCCAGAAGTCGTTAAAAAAGTACAGGGTGATCTATTATAAATGTCACCCCTTCCTAACTTTTTTATTTGATGTTTTTGACAAAAGTGTCAAATAGAAAAGTTTCAGGAAACTGTCAAGTGTAGCAGTACGAGGTTATATTATTTCAAATGGTATACACCTTGTATATTGTGCGCTTATTTGTTAGTCCCTTTCAAGGTCTCATGTTGAAGAATGAAAAATTATACCATTCAAGCTATAGAGAGAATTGTTTATTAACAATTTATTGTTCAAATGATATTCATTAATTTACAAGGTAAAATATCATAATAAATCCAGATGAAATAAGCTATTACTATCATTTAAAAAAAAATACCAGGAAGGGATTTTCACGTTTTTCCCTATAACTATCGAAGATAAATCGAGAGATAAACATATCAAATCATATATCGTTGAAAGCAGGTTGAAGGGGACTAACAAATGGGCGCACAATATACACGGTGTTCCATTTAAAAAAATAAAACTTTGCTAGGCTACACTTTTTTGACGCACCCTCTATGCTTGAAACTGACTTTAAAAACTTTTAACAATTTCTTAAAACATTTGTATTTGACACTTCTGTCAAAAACATCAAATGAAAAAGTAAGGAGGGGGTGAGATTTATAATAGATCACAA